AGAGAGCTGAGTTTAAAATTTTTATCTCGCACGTGCATAGAGAATATCCCTGCAAAGTTTCAGCTTGCTACGTTGCCTGGTTCGCGAAATCGTTTCCCGCCAACATATTTCTTTGGGGTCCCGTACGCGAGATCTAGGCGCGTATGAGGAAAGGCCTTAAAACGGGAGGATGACACACGGGGTAGGAACATATATCCAAGTTTCAGCCTCTCAGCTTTCCTGGTTGCCGAGTTGAAAGTGGGTGACAAAATGCACTCGCATTGCGAACACACACACAAAGCTTTCCTGGTTGCTGAGATGAAAGTGGGTGACAAAATGCACTCGCTTTCCGAACACACACACAGTCTTTTGACAATATGCGTTTTTGTTGGCTGGAGTAGCGCTACAGCGCTCTGCGCAGCAAAAACGCATAAAAATCCAAGGTCAGGCTAGTTCAAGACGTAGAATTGTAGTGTTTGACGCGAATTTTGAACTGGGGGTTCATTGTTTAATGGACTGCAGAGCTGCTGCACTTAAATTTGGAGCTGAATTCGAAAATCCGAACAGAAAGAGACCTGAACTAGTTTTTACGGTTGTATTCCTACCAGTAGTCACATGTAGGAACACAAGCATAAAAACTTCTTCGACTGACCTGTCCATGAAAATATACGTAAAGAGAGACAGGATATACAGAAATGACATCTTCATATAATTAGAGGTAAGCGTAATGTCAGAACACAGCTATGAGATAAGAAGAGAAAGCTCATTTCGGCAGTTAATCAAATTCCGGCCCCTCTAATCATTCAAATTACAATAACAAGTGCTTGATAATGAAGCCAGGTTTTGCTCAGGTAGTGATAGCATGAGTGACATCAGTCCTCTATTTATAATTTCTTGAACATATTGCACTGAAGTGTTTTTCAAAAATCGCTGAAACTTCTTGTAAACTTCTGGCCACGGACAGAAGTTGTTACTCTTGCTGCTTGGGCCCGACCCGACTCTTGATTGGTTAGATGTTGATTATGGACTTTAGCTGAGTTACATACGGCTAATTTATTTTAAATGATAAACTGGTACCAGCAGCAGTCGCATTTTTAATCGTACCAGCGCCAGGCGTTGAATAAAACACAATAAAATTACATGGACTGGGTTACCATGGAAGTTTCGCACAGGCAGTGTTACAACTTTCCCTTGCAGCTTGTGCTTCTTTCAAGCACTGAACGATGATTTATGACAACGCTGAAGACCCTTTTGCTTGAATCCATTTGACCCCAACGCACAGAGTAACGCTGAGAAAAGATGGTTGATGCAAGAATGCAGGTTGGCTTAAAATACGCAGCGGTCAAAATGAGTCAAAAGATTACTTCCTCATCAGCTTTGGTAAAAGTTTTTATTGGTGCAAAGTTAAAGTTTGTTGGTGATATTACTAAATGGTGCTCAAACGCTGATCAAAGACACGAAAGATCTAAGCTTAGGATTCACGAGTGTACCTACTAGCGGCGTGCATCAGAGGGCTGGTGCAGTCATGCGTTTTTGCGTCCAGCTAATCCGTCTGCCCTTTTGAAGAATGATAGCTTTGGTTCAAAACTTTTTTATATAGCAGGGCCGAATTCCTTGATTCAAGCACGATGTTCGTTTGTTTCCGTAATGCAGTTTTGTATGTAAACTGCATCGGAAAGTTTTGACCTGGAACTTCAACATATTCGCACGTGAGAAATAGGCGTGTTTCAATACTGAATTTGAAGTCTTAGTCGCGCATGCACAAAGAACATCCTTCTAAAATTTCAGTTTTCTATCTTTCCTGACCCCCGAGTTAGTAATTTCCCCGCCAAAACTTTCATGTGCCTGTACGTTATAGTCAAGAGTACTTAGGAACTGGATTCTGGATCATACACAGGCAGAGAATATCTCCCCAAAATTTCAACTTCCTGGCTGCACTGATTCCCGGGTTAGCAATTTTCCCGCCAAAACTTTCACTTTCGCACATGAGAACCAGGCGTACTTAGGACCGAAATAGAAATCCCTAGACAGCACATTGACAGAGAACATCCTCCAAAAATTTAAGGTCCTTAACTTGCCTGGTTCTCGAGTTAGCGGTTTTCCCGCCAAAACTTTTACGTGTGTACACGTGAAACTCAGATATGCGTGAAAGTTGATATCACTTTACTGGGATCACATTTGATATCATCAACATTGTTTAGTTTCAAGTTGAAGCATCTTGGGGACATACACACATATGTGTGTATGGTATGGTATATATATATATATATATATATATATGCCATGGGTCGCCTCACAATACGCGTTTTGCATTTGTATAAACATGCAGAAATGCATAAAAATAGCTGAATTACCAAGGATCACTGGAATACAATTATGTGCGTCATGCACCTCTTTCGGCCCTTAATATAGCTTTAATGCCTGAACTCCAGCTGAGGACAGCCTCATGAGATGCAGCGCAGCATTTTTTCGGCTAGAAGCTCTCAGGCCCAGACTCCCAAAGATGCTGCACCGGCGTACTTTCTGTGGGAGTTCAAGCAGGCAAAGGCACAACTGTATGGAGAAGTAGGGTCGAAACTAGACACCAACATTCAGTTCCGTTCACAGCCTTGAAAAATTATTGTAATTCCCCTCCGAAAAAAGGGAAAAGGAGATAAGCTCAAACATGAAGCATTTGTATGTTAAAGCATCTTGATCGGAAAGTGGAAAAACGTATGCTTACAGCAATTAACAACAACCACAATCACGATCTTATGCAATAAAAATGTGTTGGAAACGCATTTTTGTTCTAAAAGGGATGCGTGATACGGGAACGATTACAACAGCAATAAAAACAGTGATAGTAATGATGATAATCTACAGGATATTAGAAATGTGACAGTGATGATGAAGATGCTAATATGGTGGAACTTCGAAGGATGCGACATCAACTAAACTTTCAAATATAGAGAATTACACGTAATGGAATTCAGAATTCTTCAGTAAAATCGATTGTACAGTATCTCTCATTACGGAATGTTGCTTCTCGACCACTTAAGCAGTCAGACTGTCCACAAATCAAGTGGCATACAAGATGTCATAGCGATCACGCGAGAAAGTGGAACTTGATGCACAAGACAACAAATGTTTGCCTTGCAGATAAGAGATGAAGATCGCGTCTGAGTGAACGTAAGGAAAAACATAGAATACTTGCGAAGAAATTAACGACCACTCGAGCGACCTCCGAAGAAGTGCTCAAATGTACCGAACAAACGTCAAGTACTAACATAAGTACGCAGCTTACGATCGAAAAGCTGAATGCGTGAAAGAGTACCCTAGTAACACTTCTAACATCGGATCCCATTGCCGAATGTCAGGATGATCTTTTTTGGATTATTAGCATTTTACTAAATTCCATAAGTGATATCTATTTCTTGAACACATGTTAACAAATAGAATTAGTAGGTTAAAAAGCCAGTGATGACCGCGATAGCTGATGAAAATAAAAATA